CCCCAAAACCCCAAAACCCCAAAACCCCATTAGGCGAGACCAGGACTGAAAAATTGTGGTAAGACAGCCTCACCGGTTTTGGGAAGATGGAGCCGAGGAGGAGGTGAGTTGGGTTCTTTGGGAGAGGAAGGGGGGTTGGGGAGGTGGGGATGGTGGGGATGTTTGGTTTTGGGGGAATTATTGTGGTGGGGATTGTGGGGTTGATTTGTTAACAGTTTCTAATAGTTGGATGTTGGTTCTTATGGGGAGGGAAGATTAAATAGGATTGGGGTTGATTGGAGGGATTATCTATACAAAAAATCTTCCTAGTGATTCAAAAGTTTCATAAAATTTGGACCATCACCAATAAATTTGCTAAAAAATTGGATAGGTTTTTAAAATTTCCAGGAATTCATCAAAAATGATCTTGTTTCCTTGTACACAATAATGCGAAGCCAGAGACTTACCAATAAAATTCAAAAAGTGGTCCACAGGAAGATCTCCTAAGAATCTAGGGCTTAATTATAATCGCTCCGAAAAATGGTGAAGTCCTTCATCAAGTTATCATTTCCAAAATTCTAAATCAAGTTTAAACTCCAAAATACCGATAAAGAGACAGATTGGCTCTACTGAAGAGCACTGAGACTCCTCCAAACAATACCAAGAAAGCTACTAATAATAAGATTACAGTGTTGCAAATTTCTTTAATTTTAAAAAGATTCATAATTAAACTAACGGTATATAGCTTTCTTTATGGCCAAATTGCAATCTAGCATTACATTAATCAAAGAAAAATTCAAATTAGCATATTAGGAGGAAGAGTGGATTTAAATTTCTTCGAAATGATTAACACGTATTAAAATGCATAAAAAGAACATAAGTTTGTATTATTAATTTAAGTGATGTTATCGAATGCTTATTGCTTACATAGATGACGACACCGCGTTGTAATCTTTTTGGGGACGAAAAATCAGGTTTATCATTTCTACAATTATAACCAATACGCTTCTAATCCTAAATGGTAGCACAGCAATATTGGTGTGAAATGAATACTCTTTGAGGTAGCCCTGTTATTTATTAAGCAAAGAAGTAAAATCTAACTAAATGTTGCAAGTTATTATCAATAATTAATAAATTTATTTCAAAGTTCTTGAGCACATTTTTGATACAGGTCCTTCTTGTCGTCTGGACACTTTTTAATGAACTTATAAAGTCCATTTTCAAAAAAATATCAGTACAGTTGGCCAATATTTGTATCGCAGTAAAGTCTCTGCAGCTTTCGGTGAGAGTACTTTGCCAGTATTTCATTCATTAATATTATTGATTCGTTAGAGTAGTCGAAGAGTGCCTTTGCTTTGAGAGTGTTTTTACTCATGGCCATCCAGCATACAAATTCACTGAATTCGCCATTAGGTGTATTATCTGAAGAAATAATTTCAAGCCTCCTAGCCTCTTGTATCATTTCTTTATTTAAATTTGAATCTTTCTGTTGTCAGCCTGCAAGGTCTTATTCTTTTAGAATCGAACAGTCGAACTATAAACTTTTTAAACCCTCTTATAATTCTTTTATTGATGACATCCTTTCTTTCAGACAGTTCAGTAACTCCAGGATTAGTCGGGATAGCGTCTAGAATAGAGTTTACCATTTCTTCATAATTTTCAGAGTCTTTAGTTTCTTTTCTAAACCTTAAAGTTTCAGAATCTTCTCCGCTCATAGTAACTTCACCATTTATCATTTCTACTTTTCCTAAGTCTCTCTTCCCCCGGTTCTTAAGTCCTTTGCTTCCGCTAATCTCGTCTCCATCTATCTCTTCTGTGCGGTCATCGCAGTCTTGATTTTCTCTTCTAAACTCATCTTCGAATAAAGATTTCTCCGCGGTGACGAACTCTGTGTAGCTCAGCTCCTGGACACCTTCTAGATCTGGTGGATGGCCTGATTTGGGGACAGAATTCATAGGGCTTAAGTCTAGCCTGGATGTTTCTTTGGGGTAGATTACTGGGTCTTCTTCGTAGAGACTTGGGAAGGCGGGAAGGGCAGGAGTTATAGATAGGGATCTTTTTTGTGGGGATAGGAAGGGATTCATTTCAATTTATGATACGGGATGGGGTTTTGGGGTTTTGGGGTTTTGGGGTTTTGGGG